GCCCTGGGCGCTCCTGACTGCAGCCCTGGACACACGGCCTCTGTGACCTGCTCAGGTGAGAGGGGGCTGACTGCACTCGAGGGGCTCGGGTCCACTTGGGAAAACTGGCTTCAGATTAAGGGTGGATTATGCAGTACAAATATATGTCAAAATATATCTACTTGTACTCTTAATGTAGGAGTTTTATTATGAGAATTACATTTTAATGCAGGTTACTTTTTTTTTTTTTTAAAGATTTATTTATTAGTACAGAACTGGGGTACAGGCTAGAGATGCGGAGGGTGAGAGGATTCACCAGAGACAGAGCGGGGAGCAGAACAGGCAGATCGACGAAATACACTGCTGAGGGGAGCAGCGGGCGGGTCAGGCAGGAGAGGTCTGCCTCGCCATGTGGATCGCCTCCGGGGCAGGCGGGGATCGAACTCATGCGGAAGTGGCTTTAGTTTCTTAGTGCAGTGCTTTAACCCGCTGCGCCACCAGGGAGGGCCCAATGCAGGTTACTTTTTAAAACCAATTTCTTTTGTTTCTAGGTTAATTCTCTGTGGTCAAAATAAATAATTTTTATGTCTCTTAAGTATAATTTATTATTCTGCTTGGAGGCACAGATTATACAAATTATACCAATCAGGTGTTCAAAATACATACCGATAGCTTTTCTCTCAGTCACTGAGACAGGTCTTTCACTTTTGTTTTCTGAATATACATTGCTTCAAAATCTAACCATGGAAAGCAGCCACTTTACTTTTTTCCTGACTGCCAATCATATTTTCTTCATGTCATGTGAACCTTCACCAACAGAATCCCCCAAACCCATCAGCCTTTTGATAATAATCTCCCTAAGCCCCTACTGACCTCTGCCTGCTGCCCTATCATGAAAGGAAGGAGCCTGGGCTCCTGTGAATAAAGATGTTCTCAATATTCATGTTCAAGTCCTGTAGACAAGTGTTTGCAATTCTTTTCAGAGAAGTTTAGGTAACAGAAATACTTCTCTTTTTCTTTAGTCACATAACTATCCTGGCTACTACTGCCAAACGACAAATTTCTCCCCCAAATTTAACAATGAGAAAAAAAGGTACATTTTAGTTTGTTGTGATTTCCTGGGTCAGGAATTCGGGGAATCCCAGTTAGGCGGCTCTCTCTGGCATTTTCACCTCACTGTCATGGGAAGCTGAAGTCACATAAGAGCTGTCAGACCTGGGCGCCCAGGATGCTCCCTGAGAGGATGGCAGGCCCCTGCCTGTGGCCTCTCCCCGGACAGGCTCCGCCGAGCAGCTCCCTAAAGCAGTGTCCTCAGTGGGGCTGGGAGGCTGCGGGTCTTTCCAGTCTTGGTGCTGGAAGCCAGTAGTGTTGCCTCCGCTGCATCATGCTGCCTACAAGCGAGTCATGGAGGTCAGTCAAGAATGATGCAAGAGAAGGAAGAGGGGACCTCACGCCTCAGAACACAGTAACAAAGAATTTATGGAGATGTTCAGAAACTACACAGTGTTCAAATATCGCTCTGTGATTATGGATTTTAAAGTTCTTACCTTTAGTTCTTAATTTGCATCTTTATATATAACATCATATATGTTCTGCTTAGATCTTTTCACCTTATCTCTTGTGCCCCTTTTATACTTTCTTTGTCCTGTGCTGTATTCTAGGTATTTTTCTATTTTAACTATTCCTGCCTCCAAATCTCTACTAGGTTTTCAGTGTCACATCTGTGATCTCTGAGTTGACAAACATCTGAAGGGGAAATAAGCTCAGCCCTGCTCTTTGCTTCTCTCTGAGCATCTGGCTCCATATTTCCTCCCTGTATTAGCATCTGTGCAACACTACCAAACACTACTGGATTATCTCCCCTTTTCTAAGCTCACAACAGTATTTGTGTTAAGACAGAAACTCTGGCATTGACAGAGACAGAACTCTCCACACAGAAGGGGAACTCTAAGATTCTGATGCCATGGCTGCTCAGTTCATCTCAGGCTCCTCCTCTGGGTTATTACGCAGTGTAACTCTGTTTTCGGATCTTCACCCCCACTAAGGCTCTGACCTCGCTGCTCTTGCAGGAAATCATACCCAGAGGCTGTCCCTGTGCACCCACTCCCAGTCTCCGCCAGCAGGCTCTAAGGAAGGTGCAGGCAAATGTTCAGGTGAGGGGTCTCCAGTCCAGAAAAGTCTTCTCCTTCCGGGTTACTTGCCCCGCCCCACCA